GGCATCGGGCAATCCCGTTATTTTTAAATTTTTTCTTTTTTTTAGGTTTCGGGTTGTTTAGTGCAAGCGTGTGATTTACGTAGGGTGCCCTAGGCTTGGGTGGCGCTGGCTGCAGGAAGGACATGGCTGTGTCCAAGGACAGCAGGCGCCTGCGCTGGCGTTCCCCCAACCTCCCGCTGATCGTGTCCTGGCGGGCTGCTCTCCCTCGGCCTTTGCTACAAACAGTAGTAAAAGCTTTACTCTAGGTGAACAGTTTCAGACCTAATATACACATACAGTTGTTCCTCTGAGAGGAAGGCATTTAATTTCCCTTTCCTCCAAGTCTTCCAAACCCACTTCTATTTCGAGATGCGTTTTGTTTACTACCTGCATTTTTTTTTCCTCAAGAAGCATGAGTTTCACAGGAACTCTGCCTCTATCTTCTGCCTAGCTTACCTTGGAATTTCCAGACTCGTGTTCTGTAATTTCTATTTTTTTTTCTGTGTTCAAGATCTCCGTAGTTAATTCCATTTCCTCCACAAAGCTGCTACATTCCCTCAGTTTTTCAGACCTAAGACAGGGCTGCCGCTGCTGGAGCTGTGTTGTAAGATGCTAATACAGACCAGCTCTGCACAGCTGTTCATTGGAGGAGGAACCTCCCAGCTGTGTTAAAAATAGGGGGTATTGCATTTTCCAAAATGTGACTCATGGAACTCGAAGCTGAAACCTGGAATGACTCATGAAACTCAAAACTGAAACCTGGAATGTGTCGCTGCTGCATACACTTTAATTTCTTTTGCACACAGTTATCTCCTAACTGGTCAAAGTTGCTTTGTGGGTGGTGGGAGCCAGTGAGGGCATAACTCCAGGGAGAAGGCTATATATATATAGCTTTGTGTATATATATGTATGTGTATATATATATATGTATGTATATATATATATACACTTTGTATGTATACACACACACACCTATAGATACATATACACACAGACATACATACATATGTATGTTTTGTATGGTTAGTGCTCATCTCAAACTATGGTACAGAAACTTGCCAGTACTTAACATGCTTCTGGGTCTTTATAATGTCAAAGTATGAAAAATACCTCCTGAGGATCATTCATATATAAATTCAGGCTAAGGCCTTTGTGGTTGATTTTCTTTGGACTTATTCACACAAATTTGTGCTGTTGTAAGACCTCAAATAATTTCCAGCTACCACTGTGTCACATCAGTGATACCAACTTTAATCTTAATAGGTTAAGTAAACCTTACCTAAAACTCATAGTGCAGCCTTAATACACCTCTGCAGAAATAATGAAACCCACAAGAAATAGAATATCCCTATTTCTCAATAGAGATAACAAAATTCAGCATCTTTTCTATGGAGAAGGACTGTGATACACTAAGCAACTTGATTCTTTCCTACTGACAGTTCAGGAGATGCTGCTGCTAACAGGGATGGCATGACCAGAGTACCGTATGGATGAGTAACCCTTGTCTTCCTATGCTGATAACCCAGGTATGGGGCCAAACTCTTCCACTCATAGAAAGTAAGTGCACATGGGATAAACTGATAAAATACACTTCCACCACTCCCTAGAAAAATTCACAGCAAGTGTGAATTTACCAAGTTCAAAATGCTTTTGATGAATGTAGAAGAGCTCATGCTAGACTTTTTTTGCCATAGCTGGTTTATATTGACCATCTACCAAAAAACATGACAGCCCAAGTAATCCTATGGTTAAAGGAGTTACAAGTTGCTTTTTTGATGTCTCTTCAAGCAATACTGAGATGTACATAGCACTTTCCCCATGTATATACATTTATCATGAATTTTTCATATCTCCATGTGATTCAATGTGATGTTGGATGCACCCACCTTACCCTAATTTATCAATTGCTTTTCTATATATAGTTGCTCTGTTATATTTTGTTTTATATTGATATTGAAGAGCCTGCTATTGTACCTTAAATGTGAACTCCTAAGCTTGTACTTTTTTCATCTTGAGCTGTAACAATTTATGATTTGCCATACAAGAAGGTAAATAAAATGTTGGCACTGGCAATGGAAATATAACTAGCTTTGAATTCAGTGGCAAGATAAAATGGTAGCTCTGAATCAAAGGTCTGATCATTAGTCTGTGGTGAGCTACAGAAAACAATTAGTCCACTGGTTTTCTTGGGAAAAGATCCTTTCTGCTTAAATACAGAAACCTCTGTTAGACAGAAAGAGTCTCTCTGCTGAAATATCTCTATCTCACATTTAGGGTTATTGTTTTATTAGGGACCTTGAATTTATGACCATAGATAGGCAAAATGAAATTGGAAGAGACCTCAGGAGCTCTCTAGTCCAGCCTCCAGCTCAGAACAAGGTTAGGTCTGAGGTCCAGTCAAGTGTTGAAAAAAAAATCCAAGGCAGGCACCTGCACAACCTTTCTGGGTAACCTAATCCATTGCTTAAGATGCAGTTTGGATTGCTCCTTGGAAAGAAACACCATGTTGTAAGAGAACATTGCATTCTTTATAAAAGCTTTTGCATATTTATCAGTTTTTCTTTTGCTTTGGTACCTTAACTGCATTCTAGCCATGAAGAGCCAGTACATAACTTTAAAAAAATCTGTTTCTGTATATTTGAGAAAGGCAGATTTTAATCTGTTAAGCAAAATGCAAACCTAGAAGTTGGAGAGCAGATTTAATCTTCATTTCTACAGCAGAATTTTATTTAATTATTTCAAATAATACTTGGTCATTCTTGTACATACATTCCAAACATATATGTGTGTGTGTGTGTGTGTGTGTGTGTGAAAAAACCACTTAGTTCTCTGAAACCATTTTTCAGCAGAACAGAAAAACAATTAGACTCAAAATTTAAAATTATTCATATCGCAGCTGTGCAAATAGGAATTGATTATCATAGCAGTTTCAGTGTGAACAGAGGGAGTGATTAATGAATGCCTCTCAGTAAGATGCAAATGTTTTGTAAGTCACAGTAAGCTATATCTATTTTATAGAAACAGTAGCAATAAGTAAAAATAAGTCGAGCTTCATCAGCGTATTCAGTTAGCTGAAAATAAAACTTTATTTTCCTTACAGATTGAAAACAATTTTCATGGTGAAAGGCTCTTTCTCCCTTACTTGGAGGTGATGTAAATGTCAAACACCACTCAAATGATATTCCTGTTACATGGTCATTTACTGGTGGCCTCCTGAGCAATAGCTCCTGGCAGTAGCAGTAGCTCCTTTTATCTTGTGTAAGACTGGAGGCCAATCTCTTCAGAACCTGTCAAAGTCACTACTCTGACAGGCATTTGAGGTGTTTCCCTGAAAAGACTAAGGATGCTGTACTGCATCGATTTTTGCCCATGGTTGTTTGATTAGCATATCTCAACATAGTGTTATTCTGGAGCAGACCATGCCAAATATATTTCATAGTCTGTTAACTTTTCATTTTGATTTACAGGGATGGGCCAGTGAAAGAAGAATTGATGCAGAAGTAACCTAAGCCTGGTTTTAACAGCTCACAGTATGAGCTCTGTGGCAACTTTCTAGCAACGAGAATTTATGCTCCTTTGCCATGCCCATGCATACAGCTGCAGTGATAGTAAATGGCTTGCTGCCAGCATGCTTCTCTTTCCAGTTTTTCCTGAAAAGAAAAAAAAAATGAAAAAGAGGAAAAAAAAGGAAACTGAAGGAACATTTTGCTTTGTGAAATAAACATAGGAGTTACAGCCTCTTATTTAAAATTATCCACCTCAGAGATCTTTAGAATATACTTCCAGGTCAACAAGCTTCCTACAAAACTTTGGGCATGTCTGTGTAGTGGAGAACAGTAGAATGGTTGTAATGGGGAATGCAGCTCCATTTGGATTCACCAGATCAAGTTCATAAGCAATGCCACTGCTCTGCTGTGCCACCAGAAAGTGTGCTTGTATTGATTTTTGTATTGCCCTGGCTCCTACCATGCCAATTCTGAGCAGCTAACTGCACCAATGGAGAAAAGTTGGGCTTATCTACAATGTTGCATGGTTTTTTCTGAGTTTGTCTATGCTAAATCTTAGCTTATCATTCCTGGGTCAAGCTCATCATGTGGAATGAGTTGGCACTTCTGATGCCAACTAACAATCTTGATTGTTAACTGATAGGTGCTCTTAATTAATCTCTTATTTACAATAGGCTGTGAGGTTCTTGGGTGTTGAAAAAAAGTACGTTTTTCCTTCTTTCTCCACTTATAAGTTGTGAATCTATGTACTCAGTGAAAGGAGCACAGGTAATATGCTGATGATATATAATTTAGCTTAAAATGTACAATAAGGTTATTAAATCAGCATTGTTGATAATTCAAATAATAGCCACATACTTGTATTTTAGACCTGATTTGTCACATGCAACTTTTTGGGAGAGTATAACTTCAGAAGATAAAATATTTATAAATAAAATGCACGAAGTTGTGTAATTTTATATTAATTGAGAAGCTGGTATGTGCAATGAAATGCCTCAGGACAACTCTGGCCACATAGTGCCACACCAGCATCAAAAGAGACTTTCGTGTGAAGGTATAGGTGTA